AGAATTAACTCTTTACAGGATGCAAAAAACCAAGTCGGTTTTTGGAAGTTTTCTTTGGGCTTCACTGCGTTTTGCAAAATCCCTCAAAAATGCATGCCTGTGATTGTCAACCAGTTAACTGTACAACTAGAAAGAAATAAAAAATCTAATATGTGCCCTAAGCTAGTTATTCTGTTGCTGTTTCAACCAGATTTAAAAAACCCTTATCCTTACAAGATATATTTTAGATGCTACACATCGCGTTTCCTTCTCTTTGCTCTGTTACTGTACTCATCATCTGATGTTATCTCTGCGTTATTATTCTCCACTTTGATTGATAAAGGTGAGCTTGGGTCCTGCTTCAGTTGTCCTTCTAGAAGTCCATCCCCAGATGGTGACGGGCTAAGGAGATTGTCGGCGGTGCTCAGGAGAGCGGTTGTGGCATCGATACTAAGCTGTCCTGAATTCCGTGCTTTCTCTAGTGCACGAACTGCGATAAAAAATAAATTATTTAATTACAAAGGGTTAAGTCTGTCTACTAGTCTAGATGACTGACCAGGCTACACCTGCCAACTCTCACGCCTTAGAATCACGCCTGCCGGTCGAAAACTTCGATCTCACACCCGCTCCCGTCTACGGACCAATTTCTCACGCCTGGCTGAAAAATTGGAGCTATTACAGCATTAACTGACACACTTTCGAAAAATATGTAAACTCAAACCAACGCAAGGAAACATAGTCCTATAAATAACGCTATAAGTTGTGTTTGAATCCTCCAAAGTCCAAACCGTGTCCGAACACATTGTAGAACTGGATACGAACTCTTCATTAACGTTCGGAAATCTCCGGATGTCTTCGGCAACGGTCGGAAATCGTTGGATCATCTTCGGAAATGAAAGACAAAAATCTCACGCATTTGACTCAGGAAAAGTTGGCAGGTACACCAGGCTGATACTAAAGCATAAAGAGACTCGGAATATTGCTATTCCTCATCATACTCTTATTGGTTACAACAGCATTAACTTTCACTATTAACATATATAGGCCATACCTTGTTGATCAAGTATACCATTTTGTCGTTTGAGGTCGTCAATATCACTCTGATAATAATAATAAAATTAAAAAAACAAGTTTTAATAAAATAATAATCAATTTCATTGAATGTTTTTTTCTAAATCTGTAAAATAATAAATACAGCATGTTCAGGTTGCCCTGATAAGAATTCACCAGTACCCATTTATACTTCCAGGTTCTGGGTGGATTTTTTTATTTTTTATTGATAAGAAGCAATAACTCTTAGGGCCTGATTACTGAGCTGGTTAGCCGGGCTGGCTCGGTTTGCCGAGATGATTTTTAGCCTGGTATCACATGAGCCAAGCCAGCCGGGGCGAGCTCAATTTTTCATGTTTACAGAGAGATGGCAGCAGCGCATGAGTAGTGTTGTACTTGCTGTCCTCTTGCTGGCCTGGTAAGCCAGGCTGGTCCGATGAACGTGATGTTGTGATTACATGGAAAAATTTCAGCCCAGTTAACCGGGATTCTGTGCCGAGATCTCGGCAAAACCGGGCCAGCCTGGTTAACCGGGTATGCCTGGCTCATGTAATCAGGCCCAAAGTCTGCCAAGCGCGTGTTGTTTACCCAGGTTGACAAGGCTGGTCCAGTTTCTGAGATCTCGCCTCACTCCAATTTTCTTTCTAAAAATTTTGATGTGTTCATATGAGAAGGCGGGCCAGCCCGGTTACCGCGATCTCAGTTTTGACGACCGAGATCTCAGTAACCGGGCTGAAAAATTTCCCATATGAACACTTCAGCCGGTTACCGGGATGAAATATTTTTAAGCGTTCCGTGAAAGGACGGCCAGTATTAGATTATTATGCCTTGTTTTTGCGATTTTCTAGACCAGAATAATTCCAATTAGTCATTGAAGTGAATTTACAAGAGTTTTCAGACTTACAGCAACAAGAAACACGAGCATTACTTTCCAGTAGGCCAAACGCTTGTTCGTTAAATTTTACACCTGGATGATCGCATCACCACTTTTCATCTCGGTAACCGGGTTGAAATTTCCCATATGAACAGAAGACAAAATTTATCCTGCTAACTGGGCCCAAGCTCATGTGAAGAGACCCTGAGAGACACTTGCCTGAAGGGCGAGTGCTCTCAAAATTAAGTGTCCAACTCTGTAGGCCACTGCGTCCCTCACTCCCTGTTGGGTGTAAAGTTAATACAATTCTACAAGATGGCTTACCTGATGAGTGTGATTCTTTCTTCTCATGAATTGGATGTAATCTGTTGCCTTGTTAAGAATTTGGGCCCTTGATGCCTGCTTAGAAAAGTTTGGATCACCATTAATATAGTGCAGCTAAATCTCTGCTAATTAAGTGCCATATGAAAAACAATCCGGCAGTGTAAGGTCCAAACATTTTGCGAGACTTCGAAGATGTTCCGATGTTTGGAATCAGCCATCCTCAGGTCTTTTCCCTTTAAAAATGGAGAATTATTTGCCCCCCCCCCCAGGGGGTACTTCGTTATATAGCCTATACAGGCATGTGCTACCCAATACAGGGTATAGCTTTTTGACTAAAATGCTGTCATAGACAGGGTATGTCATGGGTGCCCTTCAGTTACCAGGAATTATTTCCCCTCAACATTTTCTGTGGGCTTGTCTGCTGTCCGTCCTTGTGTCCGACAAAAAACAATATCAATGTCGACAACAGATCACCGTCAGGAATCAAATGCTCAGACAAATAAACACCTACTTCCGTAAATACATGTCATAAACAGGGTAGGGGAAATGCAAATTTTTTGTCATAAACAGGGTCAGGGTTTTGACAGCCTGGGCGGCACACCTCTACTAAAACTTGGGTTGAGTACCCCCTCCCCCCCCCCCCCCCCCTTTCGGGATTATTTGCAACAACAAAGCATGATTTACATTTTTCTCAAAAATGGTTCATTTGAGGTTTACAAGTTCAAAGTTGTGAGCTAGGCATGCAAAATTGGTCCTTATGCATGAAGTTTCGGACTGTAAGCTTGAGACTCGCATGCAATAATGTGCGAGAGTTGGCAGGTATGATAATATTAGCGGTCCCAGTAATTTGACATTTAGACAAATAATAAACAGACATGTTCACTACATTTTTCAAATCCATTCAGTAACTATTGAACAGAGATTTGTTATATCTGTTTTTTTGAAATTGAAATTAAAATATATCTAAAACAAAGTACAGATTTTGAATACACATGTATTCTGCTCACTGCATAATGAGTCAATATAATGACATGGAGAAAATTTAATTATCCTGATGACACTTAGCATTCAATAACAGAGTTATCTCCCTAACATGCTCAGACAACTCAGAAGTGCAGCCCTGCCTGTCTGGGCCTGTCAAAGTGTATACAGTTTACATGGATTTGCATTAATTCCAAGTGAATTTTATAACCACTTATGTTAAAACTGATTAGCACGCAAAACTTATTATCAGTTTCGTTTTGAATACAAACGGTGAACTAGCTTTGTGATGATCATTTCTACCTGAAGTCGATATAAATGGAGGCAGCTTTAAATTTAGCAACCGAAGGAAATAATATTGTTAAAAGTCGATTGAAATTAAATTTGAACATCCGGCTATACATGTATAAAAGCTGATGAAGGTACACAATCACAAAACTAATCTAACACTTGGTAAAGCATTCTACTCAGCAACAGATACCAGTTTATTGTGGGAAGGTCTAAAAACAAACAAAAGGAGGTAATATAAAGAACGAATTTCGCAATCTTGCCTTTTCTCCTTGCAGCGAAGGTATAGAATCTCGGAGATGAGCGAAGCTGTCTTTTATGTGGTCTCTTCGTTTTCTCTCCAGCGCATTGTGATGTGCCCTCTTATCGGCCTAGAAATAAGAATATAGTTTGGTTACAATGTAAAACAGACCTGCAGGCAAAACCCACTTAGTTAACAGATTAGGACATGCATCGCTCATAAAATATTCACAGCCAGTCAACCAACATGGGCAGCGTTCCATGTTCCATGATAGCGTGACGCGATTGACATGGAAAAACCAAGTGATTCTGGAAGATTTCAAAGATACTTCAACTAAAAATACTCTGCTCTGATTTCTAAGTCTAACGATTAACCAAAGAACAGATCCAAGAAAAAAATGGAGCGATTCAAAACACAAACACGTGGTTTTCAAACGAAGGCCATGTGGATAATAATTGCACGCGCAATTTGACACCAAAACATAGGCCATACCTGGGTCAAGAATTGTGTTTCTTCGCCATTTTCTGCTCCATCCTAAATAAAATCAAACAAATTCGTAGAACAACGTTGTTTTTGTGACTTCCTGAGCCATCGCAATGAAACAAATAATTTACCTCGTCGCCGCTTTCAATGTCGATTTCTTTCTCCTCGTCGCTCATGCTGTCCCCGTTTCCTTTCGCCATTACCGTCCCTCGTGATTAGAGCACGTGTCATGAAATGACGCCGCTTGGAGTCGGTAGCGACAGCCAATCACGAGCCAGGTACCATTAGAAGTGATGATGACAGCCGAAAATAATGACTTCTCAGAGTTTTTCCGAGTGTTTAGTCACGATCTTAGCATATATAAAACGTGCCTGTGGACTCGTCATTTTTGGAAGGGAATAAATCTGTATCTGGAAGATTTTAAACCTGGCTGGGAGACAGGGAGATTTGGCTCTTATTCGAGAAATTCTTGGATTTTCCGGGAGAGTTGACGGGGGAGGGGGTGGGGGGAGGGGGTGTACTCCAACATCTTCCCACGTTTGGGGTATAAAGTCTAAAAGTTACAAGTAAAGTCCTAAACATTTCAAAAATCTTTCTTGATAACTTAAGGCCCGATCAAACGGTCACAACATTTGTCACAATATTCTCACAACATTTGTTGTGAGCCGATGTTGAGACCGTTTGACCACCCCTCACAACAACGGTTGTGACAGGCATTTCTTTTGTTGAGAGAGATATTATTCTGTCAGTGACACAAGCTACTCGGAAAAAAATTCCGAGTTCCCCCAACAGGAGTCGAACCTATGACCTTCCGCACACCGGTAGGACGCTCTAGATCTACCACTGAGCTACAGGAGACTCGTGGGAGCTAAGGCCATATAACCACAGGTGACCAAAGCGTACTATAAGAGTTTGTATGGATTTTTATAAGAGTTTGTATGGATTTGAAATTTAATTGAAAATATCTTCTTTTTCCTTTGAAAAGCTTCAATAAAGTTTGAAACCTTACCTGGTGTCCTTTTTTTGTCTCCCTGGTGCTTCTTTAAGCCATTTGAGCGATTTTCGTTTCAACGGTCTGTATCATACTAATATCTGTATGATACAGACCGTTGAAACGAAAATCGCTCAAATGGCTTAAAGAAGCACCAGGGAGACAAAAAAAGGACACCAGGTAAGGTTTCAAACTTTATTGAAGCTTTTCAAAGGAAAAAGAAGATATTTTCAATTAAATTTCAAATCCATACAAACTCTTATAAAAATCCATACAAACTCTTATAGTACGCTTTGGTCACCTGTGATATAACTAGGTTCAAGTGTGACAAACATCCCGCATACTGCTAGGACTAGATTTGTCGATGAATGAGAATTTCTTTTGTTCTTGAAATGTTGAGAGGTTGTTGTGGCCGTTTGACCGGGCATGGTCACAACATCTCACAACATATCACAACAAATGTTGTGAGAATGTTGTGACCGTTTGAATCGGGCCTTTAGGGTCTTTAGGATAAAATTACTTTTTGAACAATCTGGCCCGGCCTGTATGTGTAGTTCTTCATACAATGGAAAAATAAGGAAAATAAATTCGAAAAAAAAGGCTTTAAAATTGTAGGAATATGGACATTTCTTTTTCGGGGTCAGTCGGGATAAATCGGCATCAGTCGGGGTCGGTCGTTTTCTTCCGAAGCAGGTTCGGAAGAATTTAATTAACCCAGACTTCTTTGCGATTACTTCCCGGTCCTTGAAATATAAACGCCTGGGAGGAAATCTACGACATCGCTCGTGTGGCAGAACAATGAATGGTTTACTTGTAAAAGAATAATCATAATGAACCCTGGATATCAGCTGAGAGGTAACTGATGCGTTTCTGGGTATTTTGTGGCTGTTTAGAACATATTATTGTTTTACAAGCGTGCCCGAGCGTGTAAATGCTTTGTAATATAAACACCGTCAAACAATTCATCTCTGTACAGTAAGGTAATGAGCGTTTAATCACGTTTTTACCGCGGACAAGTGTTTGTCAGGATTCAGGATAGGATCCGTGGATTTTATCAATGACAAGAACAACTTGGAGGTATATATTCGTCCTAGTATCAATATGGCTGCTGATTCTTGGCTATATGGGCTGGCAATTGTTATCTGTGGTCGAAGATTCGAACCGAAACGTGGCAGAAGTAATACAGAAAGAACGACATCTTGAACAACTGCAGAGTCAAAATGACGGACTGAAAAAAAGTTAGCCGAGCTTCAGGCTCACAAGAACCAGTTAGAAATCGAAGTAGGAGAACTCAGAAAGAAGAATTTAGATCTTGAGCGGAAATTTAAGTTACAGAAGTCTGTTATATTGGCGCCATCGACAAAAACAACAGTACCGGCGGAAAAAAACAAGCGTGACTCGCACTCGACTAAAAATGGCGATCAATTCCCACGTGTATACACCGCCACGTTTTGAATTCTTAACCACGAGACGGAGAGCTGAGAAAGAATTGAAAGAGATATGGTATTTTGTAAGCGCAGAAGTCAGCAAAATTAACAAGATTGCTGACAGCGATGTGAAGTCAAAGCTGCGTCAAATGTTACGAACAGTCGAAGATATGCACCATGCTTTGTCCCTTAATTTTGAAAAGTTGAAAACGATGGATGGACAAAAAGAATGGGAGGAGAAAGAACATCTAGATCTCACTGATCTTGTTCAAAGAAGGCTACATCATTTGCAGCATCCAAAAGATTGTAATTCGGCGAAGAAACTTGTGTGCCAGATCAACAAAGGCTGCGGTTATGGTTGCCAAGTTCATCATTTAATGTACTGTTTCATAGTTGCTTATGGACTTGAAAGAACACTTGTTATAGACTCTAGTGGATGGAGATATTCTAGTAAAGGCTGGAAAGGGATATTTCAACCAGTCAGCGAAACGTGCACCACGTATAAAGGGCAGTTGGCCGGCTGGAGCGAGGATGCTTCGAAAAATGAACAAAACGTTCTAATGCCCATTGTGGATAGTCTTTATCCAAGACCGCCGTATATGCCGTTGGCAGTGCCAAACGACCTGGCTGCTAGGATTCAACGCATACATAGCCATCCATTTGTCTGGTGGATTGGCCAGTTTGCTAAATATTTATTTCGCTATGCGCCTGTCGTGCAACAAGAAATTGACAAGAAAAAAGCCTTGCTCGGTTTCAAGAAACCCATAGTCGGGTAAGAAATTTTATTTTTAATTTTCCAATTTTAATTTGCTTTGCCTAGTGTACACCTATATTTTATTTAGTGACAAGAAATACCGTATTAACAGATATTGTTTGCATAGCTTTTAGCCTAATATCCTAAAAATGATTATTTAGCAATTAGCATTTCAAATGATTCATCAATTTATTTTATGTTTACTTTTCCATTCTGTTTATTATTTTTTTAATTTATATTATTTGGAATTTCCGTAAGGCCAGCAGACAGGAAATAATTTTCAAGAAGGTCACAACTTTTTTTAATGTAGTAGACATGTTTCAGATGATCCTTCATCCATCTTCAGTACAAATAACAGAACACGCTCAAAATATTAAAAAAAAAAATTATTTGGAGCTTTAAAAAAACTGTTTTCGACAAGATTTCCATATAACCCCATACTTAATTTTGCATTCAATTTTGTGAGTCTCGTTCTATTCATAAATATCACTTGTGTGTGAAGGATAGTATGAAAGAAATTGA